TATGATAATAAATTAAACTTTGAACGCATGCATATATGATCAAATATTTATTTAGGAAAACATTTCAATTGTCTGTAAAAACAATCGTGATTCACAATACAAACATTTTAACAAGGCCGGTTCTCGAACAGTGTTATACAAATATTTATGTAAAAATAAAGATACGTTGAACATGTAATAAAAACAATAATTATGAGAAAGAAATCATAAGTATAGTATAATAATACTTTCGGAGAGATAGAAAAAAACAAATTTATATCTTGATCTCTGACATACACGAATAATAAATTTTTGTCTCATATATTTAAATACATATACGTACATCATGTACGTAAATACGCTAAAAAAATTACTAAATTATAATACATATTTCTCTGAATAGTATTAAGTAGACGTTTAATTGTAGTAAATGTTTATACTTAAATGTTTATACTTAATAAAAAAATAATAATTAAATCACAAATTAACGGATTTTGTGTGAAATAAATACATGTTTATATTTAGTAAATGTTCACATTTAGAATTATCCAAACAAATATTTATTCAAATTTAGTATTTTTTTCAATATATGTCTCTCTCTCTCTCTCTCTCTCTCTCTCTCTCTCTCTCTCTCTCTCTCTCATCACTATACATACACGCACATATATATGTATATACACATATGTATCGTATATATACATATATAAGTATATGCACATGTAATAAAACAACTACTATATAAAATATAAATATATAATATTTGTATATCTCTCTTTCTCTTGCCATTTTCACAGCTAGCTGCCTACATAGGATTGGACGGATGCAATGTGATTTCATTTTCCTCTCGCGAGGAGAAAAATCAAATTATCACTAAAACTAATAAATTAAAAGAAAATACATATAATAAATATAAAAGAAGAAAAAAAAGAGGAAATCACGTATCTTGTAAATTTCGTTATGCCGTTTTATAATTAATGATTAAGTTTATACAAAAAATTATATTCTTTAGAATATGAACAAACTTTATTTTTTGTAGCGTTAAATTGATTTAATTAATCACCTGAATTAACTTTTATTTATTAAAATTCAATTTGTAAAATTCAATTTTATAAAACATGAAATGTTACACTATTATATTATAATTAATTTTAACCAATGCAAAAATTAGTTACAAAAACCTTTAATTATAAATGAACTCTCCAATCGAAATTATTTTTTGTTAAACTAAAGTGTATTATATTACTTACAAAATTATAATAAATAAATCAAATAATACACTTTTCAAAGTATACAACAGTTTCTACGTAATCGGTGTATAATACATTATGAATATTTTAATAAACGTTTAGCAAAACATTATATAATAAATGAATATTAATACTAAATATTATAAAGTACTTAAACGGACGGAAAACTGTAATAATAATATTATTAACACAAATAACTAACAATAATACGTAACTGTATTATTAATACTCATATATTGGATTAAAAAATTCTTGATGGGTTATTAAATTCGGTACGATTCATTTCCGTCTTACAGTATGTATAAGTTCATATACATTTTTAAACAAATTTTTTGCTCTTTCCTTTTAAGCGTATGAAAAGTATGAATTTCAAAAGTATGAAAAAGTATGAAAAAGTATGAAAAATATTAGATATGTGTATTACATTAAATAGTTATAACAAGCAGGAGAGACCGGAATTTGTTGGAACGGTTTTCACAATTTCGGCTAATTCTAATTTTATTAGATTTTTTAAACAATTATTAAAATATATTAATATAATAGAGAGAACCTTTCTCTATATTTTCATACCAGTAATAGTTCTGTATAGTTTCTTTGTAATAATAATTAAATACAAATGCTGCATTGTAGTCAACATGCCCCGATGGGATAAATTGACATTTACATGTCACTTTATGTAATGTTGCTTCCATGATAAACTTCATATTAAATTAATAAAAATGTGATAGAAAAGTAATAGAAATAAAACTCAAGTAGTATAGATATGTACTTCTTAATAAAAATTGTATCTTTCAAAGTTTCTTTTGAAATAATCAAATAGCAAAATGTTATTACAGAAAAACAAATATAAATATTATTTTAGTTCTACCTTATTTTAATATAGAAATATTAATAAATATAAAACGTTTTGTCAGAATTAAATTGCAATTAAATATTCATATTAAATATTCATTAAATATTCACGTGCAAAATATTCATACGATACAGAAAGTCTAATTTTTTCTTATAAATGAGCCAATGAATCTCATCTCTGTACACATCTGATTTATATCATTTTATAATAAATTATTATTATTACTCAAAATAATGTATCTTATACAGACTTTTTTTTAATACTTTTTTAAAATAATACATACACATAGATTTGTTTTCTCAAGCCGAAGGATTAATATAAAATTATGAAATGTTCAAAAATTTATTTATCTCCTCTTAAATCAAATTTTTCCTTTTTTCTATTGTAATACTTACTTAATTTGAATGAAACTTAGGGAAAAGTACTAAAATTATAAAAGAAATATTTAGCTTTTCCATTATTTCTTTAAATATATATATAAATGGAACGCGATTCCAATTTGCCTCATGTACCAACCAGCCCCAGTCTTTCCTATTTTGGTTTTATGTTTGCATACATAACAAACAGACACTACACAAAAGTTCCAATTCATATAATTTATGTGTATTTGCCTAATTAAACTTTGACATTTACTTTGACATTGGAAATTGTGCTTAGTTAAGTGTATGATGATAATAAAGATTATTTATTGCAGTTTGAATTATACAGTTATGTAATCAAATAACTCCCCAATAATGTATAAACTAAATTAATCATGTTTTATCACAAACAAAATGTTTCCAAAATAATTTGTATTTTCATAATAAAACAAGTTGAAAATTTGGTTTAAAGAACCTCGATACGTGGTCAACATACTCTCAACATAAAAGAATAAAAGGGGGAAGAGATTAGATTTATAATTAAACTTTAAACAAATGCACGACGAACTTTTTATATCATCCGCTTTCGCATAAACTTTCAACAACAATAAAAGTAATAATTCTCTAAAAGTAATAATTCTCTAAGACATCATTATCAACGATTTTTTGCTCATTATCAATTCTATCTTTTGGCATGTATTTAATAAAGCAAGAGCGTAAGATGTGTTAATAAGGAGCATTGAGATAGAATACAGTCTTTATTTCACAAATATTTCTTTAAAAAAGTATATTTATATTATAATTTTTTTTAATTTTAAT